ATTTTATGCTTGTGTCACACACATAATATACAAAAAATTCAATTCAATTTCAAAATTTACCTTAAGCAACTGATTTGTGGATCAATATGAGTCAAATGGTTGAAAGCAATGTCCAAACCTTCTAATTTCTTTAATTTAAACAAACTTGCAATAATAAAAGAAAAAAATAAAGCTAAAGGTTTCAAGGAATTATTAACGACATTAAATTTAATGCAATCTGCCTCTCTAAATAATACTCTTTTCATGAACTTCTTTATAATAAAAGATTTATTTTGCGCATTTTATTTTACAATTTATTTAAATGCTTTTTATATTTTTACAAGATGTATTAATACAAAATTTACTTTGTTATAAATTTTTTTGCATCAGGTTTTTTAAAATATTTTTACTACTCCTAATAGTGAATCTAAAGAACACTTTCGATATTAACATGAACTTAGTTAAAATCTTTTAAAATAGTGGTTTAACTCACTATAAATCCTAGTTCTAATTGGTTCTGACGCATATTAACTATATAAAGTTGTCCAAATACAATATTTCTATTAATCTTCACAAAAAAATACGAGAATTCCGACCAAGAAAGAGCTTATAATTAAGAAAAATTGCCAAAAACCATTAGAACATATTATATTGTTAAACTATGATGTTCATTACACCTTAAAAATGCTTTTATTTAGAATTTTATTCAAATTTGGACAAACAATTGTGATTTTAAGAAGATTTATTTTTTTAAAAAGAACTTTTGGCCTGGGTTTTTTTGATACAAATATTTATATTTTATGATACCCTAAAATTTATTATTTTAACTTTTTTCGTCTTTTCATAATTCACAGACCTGATCATTTAACGGAAATATGTCGTAGTCAACAAAATATCATAGAGATGCTATAATATTTTAAAATTGCCTTAACTACTCAGAGTGAGTATTATTAAACTGAAAAAAAAATTACCTTTAAAATTAGTTAACAAAATCAACTAATTTTAAAGATTATTTTTTTTTCAATTTACAAATAATTATGAAGCAAGATTGTTGCTTCATTAAAAAAAGTCAACATTAATAGTCTAATATCTAAAAGCAAGTAAAAAAATATTCTTTGAACCTTTGATATTTTTTATATTACATAACATTTTTTTACTAAAAGTTATCGAAACATTACACTGTTATCATTCAAAAAATTTTAAGTTACAAGTTGAAACTCAAATTTCGGAAAAAAGGAAAAATTGAAAAAGGAAAAAAAAAATCAAAATAATTAATTATTTTGATTGACAAAAACACAACATACACAACAAAGTGCTTTGAAACACAACAACATACATAACCGACCACACAACACAATATACACAACAGACCACACAACACAACATAGTGTTGTGTTAATTATGAATAGGGTAAAGAACATAAACATATCATAATCTGTTTTTCACAGGTCCTTACTCCTAGTTATTACTATATTATTAAAATAATAATAATAAATTTAATAACAATATTACCATTATTATTGTTGTTATTATTGTTATTATTGCTATTATTACTATTATCATTATTATTATTATTATCATTATTATTATCATTATTAAATTTGATAGATATTTACTTCAGATATGCAATTATTACTACTTGTAAATTTTTTTAATTTAGGAACCTTTTAGAATATGTAGTTAACTTTATTTAAAACATAATAGAAATATTTTAGTCAAGTATTCTTAGCAAATATATTTATCAAACGTTATGTGTTTTAAATATGTATAAGATTTACTATTTCATGCAATAAATAAATCATTAACCAACATTAATTTAAATATAAATAATGAAATTAATAATAGTATAATCCAATATTTTGTACAGTAACTAAAACCATTTTGTTTTTTGAAAGCAACTAACACATAATAATTTAATAAAATTTTTTAGCAACTCGTTTTTTTGTGTTTATACATTAATCATGCTGCATAAAAGTAATAGTTTATCATCATACAACAATCATGTTTATAAAATAATTTGTAAAATAAAAGTAAAATGGTTTTGGTAAAATTTTTAATAAACTGCCCTAGAACTTTTTTTATGTTATTAATTAACTTTACACAAATTAAAACCTTTGCAAACTAACTACAGTCAAACTAAAAATTTACTATATTATTATTATGTATGATAACATTTTAATTAGACATGTAAAAATATGCATAAAATCCCCTGATATTCATGTATTTTAAAAATAATTTATAGGGTATAAATTTAATAATAGTTACCTTGGGTTAAGCTCACTTAACAAGCAATAGGAAAAATTTATGTAGTTCAACTTAGTTAAAAAAGAAATTTCTAAAACAGAACAAAAAAAAAAGTGAAAAATTAAAAAATAATAATAACATTTCTACAAAATTTATATTGAGCAAAATTCAAAGAGCATTTACAATAAAAATGATTATATTTAGGCAGGGATGCAGAGTCCAAAAAGTACTTTGGCGTAAAATCTTTATTTTTTCCTGGTCACTGGTGTTAGGAACG